CAATTATAAGCATGAAAAGGTAAACAGGAAAGATAAATTGTAAGGGACTTATTAAAGTTAAACTGTGTACATTCCTACATGGAAAGATGATATTATAACTCATAAGACCATACTCAATATTAGGGTAGTTAGAAAGAGTACATATAGACAGAGGGCACAAATGTGAGTTGAATATGAAGCTATGTTATCTAAAAAATAAAATTAAAGGGGGAGAGAGGAATATATTGGGAGAAAGAGAAAGGAAGAGGTAGAGTGGAATAAATTATCTCACATAAAAGAGGGAAGAAAAAGCTTTTACAATTAAGGGGAAGAGGCGGTAGTGAGGAAATAAGTGAACCTTACTCTCATAGAATTGGCTGAAAGAGAGAATAACATACACATTTAATTGGGTACAGAAATCTTTCTTACTCTACAGGAAAGTAGGCAAGAAGGGGAAAAGAGAAGGGAGTGGGGTGATAGAAGTGAGTGCAAATTGGGAGAGGGTGTAGTCAGAAGCAAAACACTTTTGAGGAGGGACTGGGTAAAAGGAGAGGAAGAATAGAATAAATGGGGGGTGAGATAGGATAGAGGGAAATATAGTCTTTCACAACATGACTACTATGGAAGTGTTTTGCATGACTACATGTGCATAACCTATATCAAATTGCTTGCCTTCTTAAAGAGGGGTGGTGGGGAGGGAGGAAGGGAGACAATTTGGAACTCAAAGTTTCAAAAATGAATATTAAAATTGTTTTTACATGTAACTGGGGGAAAATAAAATACTACATAAAATTTTTAAACATTTATTTTACCTCACAGGGACATAGGAGGAAAAAGAAAGGTGGGTATGGTAGAATAAAAGAGAAAGTGTATTAAGAAAGGCAGTGGTCAGAAATGAAACAGATTCTAAAAGAGGCATCAGGGCAAAAAAAAATAGAAAGATAAATATGAGAGAATCAGGTGGATGGAAATATGCTTAACAATCCTAAATTTGAATATGAATGGGATAAGCTTACACATAAAACACAAGAAAATAGCCGAATTGATTAGAAACCAGAATCTAATTGTATATTCTTTACAAGAAACATACTTGAAACATAAAGATACACATAGAGTTAGAGAAGAATCTATTATGCTTCTACTGAAGCATACGTTCAATATTCCATTCAAAATGCAACCCAAAATACATCGAATTTTAAAGAGTGGGGTGGCAATAGGATTTCAGACAAAGAAAAAGCAAAAATTGACCTGATTAAAAGAGATAAACATGAACACTAAATTTTGCTTAAAGGTATCATGAACAATAAATTAATAGCAATAGTTAACATATATCCACCAAATAGCATAGAATTTAAATTTTTAAAGGAAAAGTTAAATGAGTCACAAGAGGAAACAAAAAAAAATCTGTAATGATTTTGGGTCCTCAATTAACCCATCTCAAACTTAGATAAATCAAACCACAAAATAAACAAGAAGTAAGTTAAGGAGATGTATAGAATTTTAGAAGATAGATATGGTGGACCTTTGTGGAATATTGAATCAGAACAGAAAGGAACATATCTATTTTTCAGTTGTTCATGGTACTTTCACAAAAATTGCCTATATATTAGTGCATAAAAGCCTTACAAATAAATGCAAAAAGTAGAAATAGTAAATACATCTTTTCCTGACCATAATCCAATAAAAATTACATTCAATATAGGTAATTTTAAAGCACAAATTAAAAGTTACTTGAAAACTAAAAAAAAAAACCCACCTTAATCCTAAATTGTGGATAAGCCAAACAACAGATCACAGAAACAATAATTTCATTAAAGGTAATAACTATAATGAGACAACATACCAAAATTTGAAGGAGTTCAATGGGTGTGTGGAAAACACTGAATAGTGGCAAAATGGGAGCCATTCTGTGATCAGTATTATTGGGTAGGATGGAAAATTCTGGGGGGATGGAGGAGTACAGGAGTCCTTTGGTGGAGAACTTACTACCTATTGACCACAATGTCTTTCATACAGTAATAAGTAATAATATTTTTTTTCTTGAATTAAAGATACTCATTTCATTTTCAGGCAGCTGTAAAGCTCTAGATCTTATCATTGATTGATATTAATTTCCAATTAAGACTGAAACTCTTCACCATTGTTCTTAAGGATCTTCTCAACTTAGCCCCATGCTTACTGATGGATACACTTACATTGTCCAGATTCCCAATGTTCATCAATTCTTCACTCTTTCCAGTACAAGTCAGTATTCCCTACCCTACGGTAGACTTTATTTGAGACTTTACTCAAGCCAGAAAATCTTTCTATTTTACATCATAAAACAATTAAACACAACTTGAATACCTTCTCATTCAAAAAAACATACAAAAGCTGACTCAATTGCATTGATTGTGAGGCTAAGAAGGAGTTTAGTAATTACCTAAGCAAGTGCTTTCATTTTACAGAGGAAAGAATGAAGTCAAGAGAAGTGAAATGATTTGCCCAAAGTTACAAATCTAATAAATGGTAGAGCTGAGACTTAAGTCCGGTTCTTCTGACTGATATACTGTATACTTAGATAACAGAGAGCCAAAGTCTAATCCTGATTAGGTTCTGTAATAGAGTGCTAGACCTGGACTCATCACAAATTGAGTTCACATATGAGTTTAAACATTATTAACTGTGGGACCCTGTGTACTATGAAACCTAGGCAAGTCACTTAACTTCCATCTCTTTTTTTCTTTTCTTTTCTTTTTCTTTTTTTTTTTTTGGCTAGGCAATGGGATAAAGTGACTTGTCCAAGGTCACACAGCTAGTAAGTGTTATGTGTCTGAGACTGGATTTGAACTCAGGTCCTCCTGAATCCAGGGCTGGTGCTCTATCCACTATGCCACTTAGCTTCCCCTTCTTTTTCTTTATCTTTAAAATGAGAATAATAACATGTGCCCCTCAGATTTGTTCTGAGGTTAAAATGAGGTGTCATTTATAAAATTTATTTATCTATTATTGTTACATTTTATTTTTATTATTAATGTGTATTTACATATTTATTATTCATAAACTTATTAAAGCTATTCAAGTGCCTGCTATTCTTGTCATCAGCTGGCTGGGTAATCTTGGGCAATATGCTTCATTTCTCTGGGACAATTTCCTTACTTGTGAAATGAGAGTTTGAGACTAGATGGTCCCTGAGAGCCCTTTGAGTTCCAATATTCTCTGTGTCTCCAATCAAAAAAGAAAGTATTGAAAATTTCCAATCAACAAGCATAAAACACATATCCAGCTATTTTGCTAAGCACTGGGGATACAAAGGCAAAATTAAGCAAACCTTGTTCTTCAAGGGGCATACATTTACACACATAAGTACATACACAATATTTGCAGAACAAATTCAGGGTAATGGATGGTCACTGACAGCACAGATTATCAGAAAAGACTTCATGTAGAGGATGATTTTTGAAATAAGTTTTGAAGGACACTACAGATTCTATGAGATAGTTTTGAGGAGAGAATAAAGGAAGAGATGAGGAGGAAGAACTTGTTAAAAAGACACAGAGACAGGAGATGAAGTTTCTTGTCTATGGAGCAGAAAGAAGGACAGTTCGGTTGGATCATACACATGGAGGGTAGTAATATATACAAAGACAGGAAAGTTAAATTAGAATTAAGTTGTGGCAGGTGTTAAATGTTTAAAAAAGCAGTTTAGTATTTGAACCTACCGAATTTATTGAGCAGGGGACTGACATGATCAAATCTATGCTTTAGGAATATCACTTTGGTAGCTTTGGAGGGCTAGTAAAGAGGGAAGAGCATTGGGTCAGACAAGGCAATTAGAAGGCTATTTTGGTAGTCCAGATAATAGATGATGAGAGTCTAAAACTGGATGGTAGCTTATCAGTAGAGAAAAGAGGATGGATGAGAGAGATGAAGTGGAAGTAGAAAAATCAAGATGGTGTATGGGGTAAGGGAGAACCAGGAATTGGGAATTTGTGATTTTTAGTCTTTATTAGGGGAAGAATAGTGGTGCCCTAGACAGAAATAAGTAGATTATGAGAAGGGGTGGGTTTAAGGAAAAGGAATAAATTTAGTTTTAGGCATATTGAGTTGAGATGTCCAAGAAACATCCAATTTGAAATGTCCAGTAGGCAATTAGTCATGGATTTGGAGCTCAATAGAAGCTGTGGATGAATATGTGTGTGTGTGTGTGTATACACATGCATATATATACATATATGTGTATATATACATGTATGTATGCAGATGATTCTTAAAGACACACATGTGTGTATACACTGCATATAGATGCATATAGATAATTGCATTGTGTATATATATATACTGTATATCTATATATACATATATGTGTGTATCTTTAGGGACCATCTGCATATCGATGATAATTGAAAACTGGAGAGCAGAAGAGACTGCTAAAAGAGAGAAAGTAGAAAGTGAAAATAGTCTAGCACAGAACTTTGGGCAATACTCACAATAGGGGAATGTGATGTGGATTATGATCCAGCAAAAGGAACTGAGCAGAGACAGTCAAAAAGTCGGGAGGAGAACCGAAAGAAATAATTATCACAAGAATACCTGACAGAGGAGAGATTACCTCAGAGGAGAGTTTGGTCAATAGTATCAAATGCTGTGTATGGAGCTCAAGAAGGATTTCGATTGAGAAAAGGCCATCATATTTGGCCTTTTCTTGAGTAATTGCCTGCCTTTGGAGAGGAGAGTTTCAGTTGTGCGATGTGATTAAAAGACAGATCACAAGGTTTTGAGAAACTGGAGGCAAGGAAGTAGCCTTTTATTTTACTTCTTGGAATCCATGCTGTTGTTCCAGTACAGAAGTTTGTTTTGTTTCTAAATTCCATTCTGTGAGAAAAAAAAAAAAAACCAAAAAACTAAAGAGGTAGATTTCACTTTTAAATAAATTACATTATTTACTAAAGGGAACTAAGAGTATTATTGATATGAAAGTTTAAAAGAAATATGGTGATATTTCTTCAATATTCAAAAGTCCTCTTGTAATTCATTTTCAGGTTGTTCGTTTTCCGTATCCAGTTAACCAGTATCCTCTCTTTTTGAATATCAAAGATGAAGATAACTTGATCCCAATGGAAGCTCCATATCTTGTTACTGTATCTGAAGTGAATAAGAGGACAAACTGGCAACTCAGTAAGACTTACCTATTTCTAACTTAATTGTTAAGTGCAGAATCATTTAGACTAGAGGTTTACAAATGGAGAACTATATATATAAGACCCTGTGAATCCACAAGAAGTGTCTACGACTTCATGAGAAGTCCTTTGGAAAAGCAGTTAGAAATGGTCACCATTCTTGTTTTCCTTCTACTAATTTCATTTTAGCTTTAAAGGAATAATATGGATTCTTTTATGTAAAATATTTCAGGATTTTAGCACTCCCAGATATAAAGTTCAAGTTTCAGCTACTTATCTCAATCTGTCAATGTTTTCTCCTTTAACTTGTTTTCTTACTAACTCTTGACTACTGTTTAGTCAATGGTATACCCAAATTTAGTATAAAAATGGAAATCACATCATTATGAAATTTGTGGGTGACACAAAGCTAACGTATTGGCTTAAAAATCAGACTATGAAAAGATTAAGATAGAAAATTGAAGCTAATATGATGAACTTAAATGTGGATAAATGTAGAAGTCACGTACTTGAGTTAAAAAAAATTAACTGCATAAATACAGGATGGGGAAATCTGTGGCAAGAATAGAGTTCATGTGAAAAAGCTCTGAGGGTTCTAGTTGATTGGAATCTCATTGGATTCTCTAGTTGATTGGAATCAGCATTTCTGGCTGCCTTATCACGTGATAAGGCAGCCAGAAATGCTGATGTGGTCTTAAGCTGCTCTGAAGGATTATGTTCAGAGGAAGGAAAGGTATAGTCCTATTGTGCTCCATGCTTTATCTATTGCATTGTTACTAAGTTCTGGACACCACTTTTGTGGTGAACATTGATGATTTACAATCCATCAATAGGTTAATAAGCAACATGGTGAGGATATGGGATTTTTTTAGCCTGAAGAAGAGAAGACTAACCTTTTAGTCTCAATTTTCTTATCTGTAAAATGAAGCTGTAAAGTACCCATGACTAAAATTCATAGTGTACATAGACAACGTCCACAGAAATTAACTTTGACAGGGCATAAACAGGAATTAAATAAGAGATTGGTAGGTACAAATAAGGTTAGATTACTTTATTCTACATCCATACAATAATGACTGATGATGAGATTCCCATAAAAGTCAGGAGAGTCATGCTTAATGACATAGGGGTACAAAAATTAAGAACAGAAGCTTTCTCTTACTCTGTGCACAATGAAAAGATCAATCTTAATTTGGACTTGGAAGACCTGGTTCAAGTGTCAATGCTGTCACTACCTGTGTACCCTTGGATAAGCTACTAAACTTCTCTGGGTCTCAGATTCTAATGTCTCTTTGAGCTCAAAAGTTCTATATGCCTTCTATATGATCGTATGATAAATATTGAACTTTACAGGAAGTCAAGGGGGTGGTGCAGCTACATTACAGAGACTTTGGATGAGTCATGTAGCAAAGATGATAGAAAATAGATAAATCATTTACCTTTACTAAAATGTATGAGACCAGAAGCATTTAATCAGCGTACTAAAAACTTTGTGGTATATCAGAATCCCAGGATGTCAGAGTTGGAAGGGACCCCATAAGACCATCTACTCTAACCTGATTCTAAAAAAAACCTCTCTCTGGTAAAAACTTGTCAAGTGATCATTTAGGTTTTGCTTGAAAATATGTAATGAGGGGAACCCACCACCAAACACCCTTCACTCTCCACATCAAAGCTGGGGAAATTTACTTGAGGCTTAGGTTTTGCCTCACATTTAGAGTTTCTCCAAGGTAGGAATTATAAAGGTATTCAATGTAGAATGTACATGAGAGTGGAGGTGAGGTGGGATGAAAAGAGGGGTAGTGAAGGCAGATAAAGTATCACTCAGGTTTGTTAAGTCATCCCAGATGAATAGGTCCTTCAGTCATGAGCCACATGTGTTCCTGACATTGCTGAGGCAAATTCAAGTACATGAGCCATGGGATGGCCCCTGCAAAGCCTTTACTATGGATGGTCCATGGGGTTCAACCCTACTTTATAAGATAACCTAGGGTAAAGGTTCTTAAACTTTTTTTGTCATGGACTCCTTTAGTAGTCAGTCAAGCCTATGGACTCTTTCTCAAAATAGCATTTTGTAATGCTGTTTTAAATAATATTTAAACATTAAATATGTATCCTTTCAAAGAAAATAAATTCTATTAAATATTTATCAAAATACATTTTAAGTTTTACAGGCCATAGGTTAAAAATCTCTCTAACTTAAGGCTTTTCTCCTTGGGATTTGAAATAATTGGTACTCCACAGTGTATATGGGTAAAAATTACAATTCTAAGATATGTTAAAATATGTCAAAAATAATTCTAAAATCTCATATTCATGTAAATTCTTAAGAGAAATTTACATGCATTGTCTTGTTTCTGAGACATTTCCATTTCTGAACCTCAGTTTCCTCATCTGTAAAATGAGACTGTTGGACAGATTTATCTCTAAGGTTCCTTTTAGGTCTGCAATTCTATAATTCAGTTATCCTCATCACAACTTTGTGAGTTATTATTATTCCCATTATGTTATTAACCTTCCATTTTAGATCTAATTTCCTTGGTCTAGTAGGGATGCTCACTGCAGTAATCTGTAGTTTTTCTGTATATTTTAGGAGTTTTAAAACATGTACACTTCATCAGTTTCTCTCTTGAACAGTTATTTATTTCATTTTCTTCATTTGGCAGAAAATGCTTTTCCAAGTGAATGATTATGTAGGAAATCAGTATCCCACATTTTGAGAAAAAAGGAAGAATATCACCACACAAGTTTTGTGTATCCAAAAGAGGATTATTAAAGGGTTTTCTGTGTGGCTAACTGAAGCCTCGGGAGAGCTACAAATGGTAGAAGCTGTGATGTTCTAAATCTATGGCAATATTGGTGATGCAATTCTCAAGAAGATTTTGAACCTTTCTCCTTTCGTTCAAGAAAAGTCCCATCTATCATATCTGTAGAAATGCTCCCATTATTTCCAGGGGGTTGAGTTACGGGGAAGCAAGGTGTTACATATTGCCTTCACATACAGAATTACTCTTTGGGATGTCTGAGCATTGTCGTTAGTTGAGGAGGCAAAGAAGAGAGGAAGAGTCAAATTTATGAAGAGATTAGTCATAAGTCATTTGTTTGGACCTTGGAATACATTTTTTTCTATAGAAGAATTATCTATGGTGGTCATGTTCCCAGGCCATCCCCAGAGTCTATTGAACCTACAATGTACCTAAAGCATAACAGTGAATTAATTATTGTGTGTTTCCAGAGTGACTTAGATTGAATAATTTCACTTCTCTTGGTTTCAGTTCCCCATTTATAAAATTAGAAAAATTAAATGTTTTGTAAACCTTAAAAGGTTACATAAATGTGAGCTATACATGTTAATCACCATGAATGATAATATTGGAAAACATGCATGCCTGAAAAAAATATCTTGGTCATTTTATAGATCAAAAAATGACAGTTGAAACTGCAAAAATGAGAGAGTACTTAGAAAAATCCATTTCTGATACTGTGTATAATCCAAAGGATCTCAACCTGAGCATAACTGTAAGTTCATACTTTTTTTTTTGCTTATTTTCTTCATTTTATAATTTTGAATAAAAGTTTATACTATGTATTAACTAAATTAATATGCTTCTGTTCACAATCTGGAAAATATTTTGGTGAGTGAAAAGAATATTATCTCCAGGTATATTGAAGTTAGCCATTTTCTGTCCATGGAAAGAGAAAAATTTCTTTTTCACTTTTTTTGAGTTTTTGGGGTCACCATGACTTGTGTCCAAGAAGTGGAATAAAAAGCATCATAGGAACTTTCGCTTCCGGGAGCCAACATGGCGGAGTGAAAAGGTAGTCGCTCTTACTCTCCCCTATCAACCTCTGAAAACCCAGAAAATATCACCACAGAAAAAAACCCTGGAACAGCTGAACTAGAAGAAAGATGGGGAGCAGCAGTGCAGCAGCCTAGCAAACAGGTCTCCCAGTGCCTCAGCAAAAATAAGTGAGGCAGAACTACAAGGGGCCCCAGAAAGATAAGTACCCTGCAGCATTCATCTGAAAGGAGGTGAAGAAAGCAATCTAAAGTCTTCCTAAAGCCCCAGCCTTGCTGGTTCCAGCCCAACAGGAGGTAAGCTGTCAGAGCCCTGCAGCCTCCAATTGTGAAGAAATCCTGAAGCTCAGGTGGTAGAACAGGCAAACACCAACACCTGGACCTCTGAGTGCCTCAGTGAGGGTGGGATGTGTGTGTGTGAGGGAACCGGTGGAAACCAGCTCAGAAAACCACCAGGTGCCTCCGTACTCTACCACAAAGGAATCTCCCAGTGCATTAGCAGAAAGGAGGGAGACAACACTGCAGGGGGCCCCAGGCAGATAAACACCCTGCAGCACCCATCTCAAAAGAGTTGAAAAAAGCTAAAGCAAAGGAAACACAGGCAACCTAGAACTGACTGAAAGTTCCAGCCTTGCTGATTCCAGCCCAACCTGAGGTAAGCTGCCAGAATCCTACAGCCTCCAATTGCCGACATAAGAGGCCCCAGCACACAAAGCCAGTGACCAAGATCTAGGCTCCCAACACAAGAAGCTTGGGTCAGTGCTCTCTGTTCCCCAGCAGAAGAGCTCAATCTCTTTAAAGGCCCGGAATAAAGAAACATCATGAGTAAAAAGAAATGTACCATAGGTTCATATTATGAGAAGAGTGAAGATCAAGACAGAAATTCTGAAGAGGACAACATTGTCAACAAACCCACATCTGCAACAAGAAAAGGGAATATGAATGGGTCTGAAGCCCAAAAAGCCTTCTTAGAAGAGCTCAAGAAGGATTTTCATAGTCAAATGAGAGAGGTAGAAGAGTCCTTCAAAAATGCAATTGGCCAATTGGAAAAAAAATACACTGAAGAAAACAAGTCCCTAAAAAACACAATTGGCCAATTGAAAAAGGAAGTACAAAAACTAACAGAAGAAAACAATCTGTTAAAAACTAGAATTGGACAAATGGAAACTAATGTCTTTTTGAGAGAGCAAGAATCAATTTTCCAGGTCGGTTGTTTTACCAATGAGGTATTTTACGTTTTCATCTATTTTTTCATTTTTTTGTTTCTGTTTGACTGATTCTTGCTCACCACTTGAAAGAGATCCCAAATTGACAATGCCAAGGAATATAATGACAAAATTCTAAAGTTACCAGATGAAAGAGAAGGTGCTGCAAGCAGCCAGAAAAAAATATCATGCAACCACAGTCAGGATTACACAGGACCTTGCAGCTTCTACATTAAAAAATGACAGGGCATGGAACATGATATTCCCTAATGCAAAGGAGCTTGGATTGAAGCCAAGGATCAACTACCCAGCAAAAATGAGCATCATTTTTCAAGGGAGGAGGTGGATATTCAATGAAATAGGGGACTTCCAAACCTTCCTGATAAAAAGACCAGAGCTCAACAAAAAATTTGATCTTCAAGTATAGGACTCAAGAAAGACATTAAAAAGGTAAATGGGTTGGAAAGATACAATATGTTGTTAATAAGGGTGGGCTGTTTACATCCCTATAAGGAAATATGACATTTGCGACTCTTGAGAACTGTATTGTTATTACACCATGTTAAAGGAGTATACATAAAGAGGGTAGATATTAGTTGACTCTGATGTAATGATAAAAAAAATATCTAATCAAGTGGGTTAAATAGATCCAAATAAGTGGATCAATCTGATCTTAGAAAATGTACTGAGAAAGGAGGAGGCAGACAAAGGTAAATTACATTACAGGAAAAGACACAAAATCCTATTACAGCAGAGGGAAAGAAGGGAGGGGGTGAGCATTGTTTGAACCTTACTCTCATCAGATTTGGCTCAAGAAGGGCATAACATAATCAGTTAGGTATAGAAATCTAACTTGCCCTATAGGCAGTAGGAGGGAAAAGGGGAAAGAAAAGGGGGGGAAAGAAGAGGGGAAGAAGGGAGGGAAGGAGCAGTAAGAGTAAAGGGGAAGAAAAAGGAAAGGGATAATAAAAGGGAGGAGGGACTGAAGGAGGTGGTGGTCAAAAGCAAAACACCAGTGAAGGGGGGGAAAGGAAAAAGGAGAAAGAAAAGCGTAAATGGGGGGAAGGATGGAGAAAAAGACACAGATAGTAATCATAACTGTGAATGTGAATGGGATGAACTCTCCCATAAAAGGAAAAGATTGCAGAATGGATTAAAAACCATAATCCTACAATATGTTGTTTACAGGAAACACATTTGAAAAAGAGTGACACATACAGGGTAAAGGTAAAAGGCTGGAGCAGAATATATTATGCCAGCTGAAGTAAAAAAAGCAGGGGTAGCAATCCTGATCTCAGACAAAGCAAAAGCAAAAATAGATCTGATCAAAAGAGATAAGGAAGGAAACTACATCCTGCTAAAAGGCACCATAGACAATGAAGTAATATCATTACTAAACATATATGCACCAAATGGTATAGCATCCAAATTCTTAGAGAAGTTCAGGGAGTTACAGGAAGAAATAGACAGCAAAACTATACTAGTGGGGGACCTGAACCTCCCCCTCTGCACTAGATAAATCTAACCACAAAATAAACAAGAAAGAAGTTAAGGAGGTGAATAGAACATTAGAAAAGTTAGGTATGATGGACCTCTGGAGAAAACTGAATGGGGATAGAAAGGAATATACTTTTTTCTCAGCAGTGCATGGCACATACACAAAAACTGACCATGTCCTAGGGCATAAAAACCTCACAATCCAATGCAGAAAGGCAGAAATATTAAATGCATCCTTTTCAGATCATGATGCAATAAAAATTATATGTAATAAAGGGCCATGGAAAGATAGACTAAAAAATAATTGGAAACTAAATAATCTAATCCTAAAAAATGATTGGGTCAAACAACAAATCATAGAAACAATCAATAATTTCATTCAAGAGAATGACAATAATGAGACAACATACCAAAACCTACGGGATGCAGCAAAAGCAGTTTTATATCTCTAAATGCTTACATAAATAAAATAGAAAAAGAGGAGATCAATGAATTGGGCATACAACTAAAAAAACATAGAAAAAGAACAAATTAAAAATCCTCAACTAAACACCAAATTAGAAATATTGAAAACCAAAGGAAAAATTAATAAAATTGAAATTAAGAAAACTATTGAACTAATAAATAAAACTAAGAGCTGGTTTTATGAAAAAACCAATAAAATAGGTAAACCTTTGGTTAATTTAATTAAAAAAAAGAAAGAAGAAAACCAAATTACTAGTATCAAGAATGAAAAGGGTGAAGCTACCACCAAGGAAGAGGAAATTAAAACAATAATTAGGAATTATTTTGCCCAACTATATGCCAACAAATTTGACAATCTTAGTGAAATGGATACATATTTACAAAAATATAAATTGCCCAGATTAACAGAAGAGGAAGTAAAATACTTAAATAACCCCATCTCAGAAAAAGAAATTGAACAAGCCATTGATGAACTCCCTAGGAAAAAATCTCCAGGGCCAGATGGATTTACATGAGAATTCTATCAAACATTTAAAGAACAATTAATTCCAATACTATATAGACTATTTGGGAAAATAGGTGAAGAAGGAGTCTTACCAAATTCTTTTTATGATACAAATATGGTGTTGATACCTAAACCAGGAAGAGTCAAAATAGAGAAAGAAAATTATAGACCAATTTCTCTAATGAATATAGATGCAAAAATTTTAAACAAAATACTAGCAAATAGATTGCAGCAACTTATCACAAGAATAATACACTATGACCAGGTAGGATTTATACCAGGAATGCAGGGTTGGTTCAATATTAGGAAAACTATCAGCATAATTGAGCATATCAACACCAAAACCAACAGAAACCACATGATCATCTCAATAGATGCAGAAAAAGCTTTTGATAAAATACAACACCCATTCCTATTAAAAACACTAGAAAGCATAGGTATAAATGGAGTCTTCCTTAAAATAATAAATAGCATTATCTAAAACCTTCAGCAAGCATTATATGTAATGGGGACAGGCTAGAAGCATTTCCAATAAGATCGGGGTGAAACAAGGATGTCCATTATCACCACTGTTATTCAATATTGTACTGGAAATTAGCTTTAGCAATAAGAGAAGAAAAAGAAATTGAAGGCATTAGAATAGGCAAAGAAGAAACAAAGCTATCACTCTTTGCAGATGACATGATGATATACTTAGAGAATCCTAGAGAATCAAGTAAAAAACTACTTGAAATAATAAACAACTTTAGCAAAGTTGCAGGCTATAAAATAAACCCACATAAATCATCAGCATTTCTATATATTACCAACAAAGCCCAACAGCAAGAGATAGAAAGAGAAATCACACTTAAACTTACTGTAGACATTATAAAATATTCAGGAGTCTACCTCCGAAACAAACCCAAGAACTCTATGAACACAATTACAAAACACTTTTCACACAAATAAAATCAGATCTAAATAATTGGAAAAACATCAGTTGCCCATGGGTAGGCTGAGCTAATATAATAAAAATGACAATCCTACCTAAGCTAATTTACTTATTCAG